AGCTACAAAAATCTGTAGTTAACTACAAAAAGTAGCGCATTACTTAGCTACTCCCCCATCCCTGCAGTAGAGACACACAGTGGAGCCAGACCAGCAGAACATGTGGATGGAGCTGCTAATGTTAGTACAGCTGGCAGAAATGAGCAATGGGTCTGCATTGGAGCTAAACTCAAATGAACTGCTATGTATACCTCTGTGGTCTCATCTTCCACCCCCACAAGCACAGGCCGCCCTGCTAATGCTAATGCTAAAGCTACTGCTCAGAGACCTCAGCCAAATCCAGAGCAGAATATCAGTCCCAGTCAGTTTATTTGCACAAAAGATTTGAGCTATGACAAGGCCTAAGTGAAGGCCTAAGTAAAGGCAGTAAACATAAGGTGGAAAGAACCAGAAGTGTCAGCCAGTTAGAGCTCCCCAGTAGAGCCACAGAGTCAGAAGTGTTAAAAGGGGACTTTACTGATCTCTTTAACACACTTAGCAAGCTTAACGTCCAGTCATTTATCAGTGGTCCTCTGCCTGCATGGAAAAGCAATATGTTCTCAAGGCTACACTCAGCTAAATAAAAGCTGCAGGTCAAATGGACTGAAACTCAATAACATTAACCTGTTTTTGGGAAGAGAGAATTATTTCGGTGAAATGAACTGCATACCGACAAGAGGGGTGTCAAATCTCTGACAGAGAACTACATTTTCTCCATGCGCAACTCCTCCATCTTTACTGATGAAGACACATCAGCATTAACACCAAAGGACTCTGTCATCACTCCAGAGTCACACTGTCCTTCCCTACTGAGGACACGTTGATGTAGCTGCATTTATTGGATGAGAGACACAACAATGTATACAGAATAGGAAGATGAGGAGTGTAGAGACAGAGAAGGAGAGGAACAGTAGATGTTTCTGGTCTGTGTTGGGCCTGTGTGACCAACTAAGGCTCTGTTTTACATGTTCACCATTTCTAAATCCAAATAAAGAAGTTTTTCACTCTTGATTTTGGAAGGTTTGTGAGCACGGTCCTCATCAGCAGAGCACCCTGCCTCACGTAATGGAGGATGCATTTTGAAACATCAGATTGAGGAACTGCCAGAACTGGAGAACATGTTCTAAAAGAGTCTAGAGGATTTTTCAAGCATTGTTTGGATAGACAGCACACTGTCTGTGATGTAGATCACCTTTCTGCCCAAAACAAGATAAGAATCAGGATCCTGCACTTTTATTTATTTGTTTGTTTTTGTTTGTTTGTTTGTTTGTTTAACATAGTAAATGTTACAGATAAGCCTTCTTTTGTCTGCTGTTCTGTCTGAGTTTATTTTTACAGTCTTAACTGTGTGGTGTGTATTTTGTATCACTTACAATTTGTGATTTTTTTTTTCCTCCCACAGCTAAATTGTCCCTAGGTGTGATTGTGTGTGTGTGCATGTATATGTCTATCTGTCTGCTCTGCGGTGGACTGGCGACCTGTCCAGGGTGTATCCTTCCTTGTATAAAAATATTGAGCTCAGTACAAGCAGATTGTTACAGTTAGAGCTTCTGTACTGGTTTGTTTTTGGTCAAAGTCTGAGGAGTAAATTTCCCATGGAAATAATTCTAACACTGAAATGAAACTCATGTACAATAAGAGGCTTTATTTTATATACAAAAATAATACAAATCAGCTATGAGGCTATGATAACAGCCAAAAGACTATTCAAATCAGAATCCTGATCAAATTAGATAAGAATGACAAATGTGCCTGTAGGTTCACTGAAGCACTGCTGGACAGACAAAGCGGTACAAGACAGAAGAGTCACCAGGACTTCAGACATGGACAAGAGATTTCTAGCACTGCTGATCTCAGGTATGTGTGAGCTATAGATTTCTGAATAAACACAGAAGTGTGCAAAAGTCTGAGACCACATGAAAAGCAACACCAGGGTAAACATAAATAAAATCAATTAAACAATAATTACTGTAAGCAATGAATACATGTACAGAATTCTCTTCCAGGCAGACCAGTATTTGTAGTTTCAATTCAGTCTCGGGTTTAAATAACACTTCATCAAGTTAAACTTCAATATGTCTTGGTGATTGAAATTCAACAAATCTAAGCAATGGCTTCGCAGAAGAAAATTCTTAGGAATCTCAAGTTAGAACAGGAAATTCATTTGTTTTTGTTTTTTATAACTGAATTAAATGTTAATTTATATTTATTCTAACATCAGGGGTGACATTTATAACAGGTGGGACAGTCATTCCTAACGTCTTCGCTAGGGATTTACACCTATGACTCAGCAGCTACAATAACTTTGTAATATACTTCATTAGTCGACTTCAGATCACCAGCCTGGTTAAGATAAAGCAATAGCTTGGAAAGAAAGATTGATTCATTTTATTTAAATTTTTTCCTTTAAGGCCTTTTTTTCACTCTAAAGAACACTTACTCTTTTAACCTCATTATCTCAACACAATTGTGCAGAAACAATGCGTTTATGTATTAATTTGCCTAAAAGAGTTAATAGTTAATGGATAACACACTGACTGTGTGCACAGGTAACATATGCTGTGTTAATTAAGACACAGTAAATGTGTTAACCATTATCCACTAACTGTGTTAGGCTAATAAATACACAAATATGTTGCTCCTGACAAACTGCAATTCCCAAGATGCTTCAGCCAGTCACATGACCCAGCCATCCAATCAGTCAGTCAGTTAGCAGATCCCAGTCACCTGCATTCTAATTGTTTTCACCTGTTTGCTCGTGTATTTTCTTGTGTTTTTGACCTGGTCTGGTGTTAACTCTACTCTTTTGGATCATTCTCCTTTTCAAAAATGGTCAAATTTATGGTTTATTTTACATCCACAAGTGTCTGGTTCATTCAGCCAGCATTACAGAATACATACTTACATTACTGACAAGTATATGACGTTTTTACCAGCAAAAACACACATTAATGACAGTTTTAAATGGAAAAAAAATTATAGTGGCTGGACACAAAACCAAAAATGGTTTTAAAAATGTTTTTCTACTTGAAAGATGTCATCTGTAACACTGACTTCATAAATTAACAAATTAATTCATTCATGGATTAATAAAAGAAATAAATAAATACAGTCGCATGTGAAATGTTGAACACACTCCATCAATTTACTTAATATACTTAAATGTCATATTTATCAAATTTTGAATAAATATGGCCTGTGCAGAAGTTATGGCACATTTCATATTTTAAATTGTATAAATATGCTGTAATTTTTGCATATGCCATATTTATTTAAAATTTTGCATACAACTGTATTTAGTTTTTCCTACATCTTAAATACATTTTTACAGTGTATGTTGTTAGTGTACTTACTTATATACACTAGTTACGAATTACTTTTAGTAGCAAGTGATAGACACTGTGTGACTAGAATTCATTACATGTACAAGTTACAAAATATTAAGCATGAAATGTAAAATATAAAATTTGCACAGTATACATTTTATGTTTTTCCCCAATATGTTACAGTTAGAATTCAGCACATAAATAATAACAATTGTGATAAATAAAATAACAATTGTGCATTAAAATGTGTGCTGTCTGCAGAGGATGTGTTAGCTCAAACTTTTACATATGACTGTATAGTGTTCAGAAATATAAGATTTTACTGTTTTGATCAAAAGGTAAAGCCAGTGACCTGTAGATACTGACATCACTGCACAGCCATCATCAGCCCTTATTAGGCAATTATGTACTTTTGTTGTTGTTGTTGTTGTTTTTCCTCTGTGATTTACTTCAAGACAAGGACTTTGGTTGCTGGATCGGTTGAAAATTCTGGGGATGCCTGATAGAGGCATTGTGGGAAAAGAAAATGTTTAATGGAAATTTCTGTAGAATGGAATGAGTACAAAATATAAGACAAGGAGAAAATGACACACAAAGCCAATTTTAAAATGATCGTTTCATTTGCTGAAGGACAAATATCACCTATGTGAAAAAAGAACTTGAGCTTCATATCATAGACTGAGTGAACATTCTCCTCCTGGATTTTCTAGTAGAGAATTCATGGCACCATTAATTGTAGTAAGTCATCCAGGCTCTGAAGCATCACCATACCATACTGGAGGTAACTGGACACTCATCTTTCAAAACCTTTTACTTTTGACTCATCGGTCCACAGAATATTATTACAAAAGATATGAGGATTATCAGCGTGCTTTTTTCACAAATGTGAGATGAGACATTATGTTCCTCTTGGTTCGCAGTGGTTTTGCCTTACAATGCTCCAGTCTCTTTCTAATGGTGGAATTATGAAAGCTGACCTTATCTGAGGCGAGCAAGGCCTGCACTTCCTTAGATGTTTGGCTGTGTTCTTTTGTGACTCCCTGGATGAGTCGGCGCAGGAGGAATTTTCTCCTTTTGGAGATAAAGGCACTCACTGTGGTTTGCTGGAGTCCCAGAAGCTTAGAAATGGCTTTGTGACTCTTTCCACACTGATAGAGCAGTTTTCTTTCTCATCTCTTCCAGAGTTTCTTTTGATCCTGGCATAGTTTACTGTTTGTTGAGACCTTTTAGCCTAATTCACATCGCTGGAAAGGTTCTATTTAAGTGATGTTTAGATTCAGCAGGGCTGGCAGTAAATCAAGCATGGGTGTGTCCAGTTTACTTGATCCCAATTATCAACAAATTGGTTAATTGGTTGACTGAGTAAGTAAGAGTGCTTTTACTTTTTCATAGAGGACCAGTTTGAGTTAGCTACTCCTTCTATAAATGAAATGATCATGTGTTTTGTGTTTACTCCGGTCACCTTTGCCTTGTATATAATTTTGTTTGAAGATCTGAAACAACTAAGTGTGATACACAAAAACAGTTTTACTCAACTTTTGCCTTTGTTTTACCAGTAATACAATTTTTTTGGGGAAAAAAAGACAATCCCAACATTTCCTATCCAGCATGCTTTATTAAATGTCTTTCACAAATGACTCATATGGCTGTGCTGATGTCTCTCAGGTCTCTGTAGTGCAGCCTCAGCTCTCTCTCGACAATATTACTTAGTGAATGAGAACATGACTTGGTTGGAGGCTCAGAGGTACTGCAGAGAGAACTACACTGACCTGGCTACTGTAGACAACATGGAGGAGATGAAGCAGCTGATGGTGGCAGTAGATCCTAAGTTTGTAGGTTCTTTGTGGATAGGACTGAACAAGGCCCCCCCGAGACGCTGGGGCTGGTCTTCAGGAGAGATCCCACAATACATGAATTGGAGAAGTCTGGAACCAGACGGTGGAAACATAGATGGACTTTGTGCCACGAAATATCAGTTCAGTGGATGGATTAATGCTTATTGTACAGATGTTTTGGATTTTGTTTGCTACAGCGGTGAGTAACACTATTTAAATTACAATAAGTAAGATGTGATGATATTTTATTTATTATATCTTCTAGTCTTGAGTATTCTTGATTCAAGATCACATCTGGCCCTGCAAGACTATGTATCGTCTTGTGTAGAATGTGCAGTGTTGCCAGATTGGGCAGTTTTCCACCCAATTGAAAAGATTTTGCTTGAATAGCATGGTGCAACTGTCCAAACGTTGGCCCTATCATCAGGAGATCGCAAGTTCCATCCCTGGTGATGCTACAGCCATCCGCAGCCGGAAATCCAAGAGGGCACAATTGGCCTCGCTCTCTCTGGGTGGGTAGGATGGCCCCTCCTTCTCCCCCCATCACTCAACGTCTGTTAGCTGACATAACAGAACTGGTGGTTGGCGCTTTCCTCCGAGCGCGTTCAGCTGTCCAATGATGTTGTGTGAACGGCAGTTCGAAAAGAAGCAGTGGCTGGTTTCACAGGTCTCGGAGGAAGCCTGTATTAGCCTTCACCCTCCTTGCGTTGATAGCATCATGTGTTTGGGGGAGTCCTAACTAGCGGGTGGAATTGGAGACGACTGAATTTAATAAGGCTTACAAATCCAATCAGATATCTGAACATTGGTTGGCATATATTTTATTAGACCCTGTTGAAAGGACATTGTCATGCCCTTTGACATTATTCATAATTTTAAAGGAGAGACTTAAATGATTTTTGTTGCATTACTGACTTTCTAAAGTTATATAGTCGGAAATTGGAATAGCCTGTGGTCATTAAAACATGGCCTATAAACATAGGTTTTTGTGAGTAATAACTTTCTCTATATGTGTGTCTGTGTGTGTGTGTGTGTGTGTGTGTGTGTGTGTGTGTGTAGAACCGACTAAACAATTTATCCATGTTAGCAAATGAGACAGTTGGAGAAATGCTCAATATTATTGCCGACAGCATTATACTGACCTGGCCACCATTCACAATGAAGAGGAACATCAGAACATTTCAGATCTTCTGGGCAGCGTACAATACGCATGGATCGGCCTCTTCTTCGACAACTGGAAATGGTCTGACCGACGAAGCACCTCGTTCCGCTACTGGGAGCCAGGACAACCCTGGAGTCCCACAGGCAAGGCAAACTGTGTCGCCATGGTGACTACATGGAACGGACGATGGAAATGACTCACCATGTGATGCAAAGCTACCTTTCATGTGTTATAAAGGTCAGTTTGATACATGTTCTTACATGGTGACATTGACTGGAGTCCAGCAAAATCAACCCATTAGCTTAACTCTATTTAATTTTTTACATTTTTAAAAATCAACATTGATATCTGTCCCAAATGATTTTTCAACATATGTCACATTTGTTGTGGCAATGCAGATAAAAACAAGCAAAATATATTTACATTTGACAGTTCACAGTCAGCATGGATTTTATCCAGTATCATGATAGACCATCAGCCACAGTGCATTTAAAGGGGCATTCTGGCCTAAAACTAGCATTTAAAATGCTATTTGTAATGTTATGTAATATTCTGTAACTCAACACTGCATCATTCAGCCACATCAGCTTCACACAATTCATAATTTTTTTTATTCTTTTTGTGTTTTCCTCAGTGGGCATTAGTTACTGTACTTTGGTATTTCTTTTTCTCCAGCACTGAGACAGCGCATAGTAAAACTGATTATGACCTCTAATGAGCAGAAGGATCTGAATGACCCTGCTATGAAGACAGCCATTCTGACTCAGGTCAGTGAAATCTGTATTGTCTATGTACTTATAGTCCTCTTATCTGTGTCTGCATTCGCATTTTGCAGTTCACCATTAGCACCCAGGTGAAGGCTGTTCTCTATGGGAAAAATTTCATTTTTGAAAATCCTCTCTATTGCACTACATAGTTAAGCAAAGAATAATAGTTTTTGCATTTAATTGAGATTTTGCAAACAAAATACATTCATCCCAGAAGGCTGTGATGCAAAATTGCTCATTGTGGTGAATTCCATTGAAATGAATGTAATTATTCTTGCAAAAATTCACCGGCAAATGCAAGTCTGACTGTGCACTTTGACTGACTGACAACATGACCAACATACCCCACAGCAAGCTGTGTTACGTATTGAAGTGAAGTAAGAGGCTTTGGCAGCAGTAGGCTACAGTTTGAATGTCTGGTGTTATAAAATAGGTTATATAATATGCAAACATGGTATTTACATGGAACTGACAATGGCATGAAACACTGTGTGATACAAATCTGCCTTTCACGTGTTACAAAGGTCAGTTTGACGCACTTTCTTCCATGGTAACAGTGACTGGATTCAGTTCCAGCCAGTGCCGTATAGAGAGAGTTGTGTCAACTCCATTCACTCCAATGGACCATTTTTTTTACAGCAATGGCGGATCGTGGAGCCTCTCAATAGTTCCCGGAAGTTAGCAGCAAATACTAGCAGCACGGCCGAGTTTCAGCAGAATAGACCGGTTGTGATGCACTTTAAAAGGGTAAAACTATTAAAGAATCAGTTTGTACATAATAAGCACATCTGAATCAAATTAACATGTATATTAAAGTATGTCAGTGGATTATCCCCGACTAAATTAGTTGATTTAAGAAACATTAACAGATAACAGATCAGGCAAGGGTACTGAGTAAAGTTAGGAACCCATAATGTTAACCATAAACAGCCTAGTAATGGTAAAATCCCTGCTCTTAATGTTGTTTCATCCACCGTTGTTGAATCTTAGAAAAGGCTTTTAAACATGATTTTTCCACGGGGTGGGTGGGACTTAAATATTAGTTAAATATAACATTGGGGCAGAGCTTGTAGAGGGGAGGAGGTGAAGGAGGTAAAATGAGAATATGGTTATCCATTTTGGAGTATGAGTTAACGTAGGTAACACAATAAAAAGAAAGAGCTATTTTCATGATACGTCACTATTGATGTGGATTTAGAGCGCATATTAGAGACTTTAAAGAGTAAACAATTATAAGACGTATGGATTGAGTGTTTGCAGGCTTTGTGATTCTGTTGACTGTTATCTGTACATTATGTTGCAGTTTAGTTGATTTTGGATTAATGGCAAGAACCACAGGGGATTGAACTCAGCCTAGAGACTCCCTACAGTAAGACAGCACCCCCACCCTGCACCCTGAGTCTCAACTCCCTGGGTTTTGCAATTCTTTACCTATTCATTATTTTTAATAAACAAAACATTAAGCTTTCCAGTGGTGTGGCTTTTCTTTGTGAAACGTATGCAGTGTCACGTTGTTGTTGTAATCTTTTGTGATGGTAAGTAATTTAGTAATTGCTCCTGCTGACTTGATCCAGCAGTTTTTTCTTTTCTGTGTCGGTGGAGAAACCAAACATTTTACTCCTTTCTTGAAGCATCTCCATGCAGCAGAGCAAACCATGGTGGGGGACTGTATGCAAGGACAACATGGAGAAAAGGGCACAGACAAACTGCCTGCCAGGCTATTCATGTTTGAGTTCGTTATAGCTTTATTTAATGAATCCATCGCAGTAAATATGTGCATAATAAAAAGACAAGATATATAAAATATGTTTACATGTGTACAAACAAATATAAATAGATGTGTTTATTATGTCCTGTCCTGTCCGGATATGATGTATTTTAATGTACGCTTTTTAATACACCTTTTTTCATATGCAAGCCAAACAAATTTCTTTGGCTCCTTCTCCTTCTGTCCTTTCAGAAAGTCATAGAGTTTACAGTCATTAAGATTATCTAGGCCTTGGGATTACTGAAACTACCCATTACCCATTAGTAACTACCCACTAAACCATTAATTAAAGATGTATTTATGTTAGTTATATTTATTTATGTTGAAAATTAATCTGATCTCAATGTTGAAACATTCATTCCCTTCCTCTCCCTCTAAGTATATCCATAAACATTAGGATATGACTGATCTTAACTACCATACAAGTTTAAGAACAAAATATCTATAATAGTGAAAAGTCAAAGCAGTGAAACAACGAAAACACACTTTGAAACCATGTTCACATTAACCCAACATGTCAGAAAGGCAGGTAACGACAGCTGTTTAATCCTCAAATAGTAGCGAATTTGACTTTAAAATATATCATATTGTTGTAACTGCACACACACACACACACACACACACAAACACACACACACACACACACACGTTGGTTTTCTATATAAATATTGTAAATCGGTGCATTTATTGACTTTAAAGTACCAAAAGACGCAGTTCTGTCACTCTGTGTTTATGGGTTTAAATTGCCCACAAAGAACTTCCTGGAACTATCTGAAGTCTACATGAATCACGTGACCATCAAGCATTTTGAACTTGAATGCTACTCTCTGTATACGGCTCTGGTTCCAGCAAGAAAATCTGGCTTAAACCAGTTCTTATTTGGCCATGATACCAACTACAGTACTTTGCAAACATCAGTGATCATCCTTCATTTATTTAATTTCCATTCAGTTACACCCTTTCAGTATAAGATATTTATTTTTCTTTGATATTAAATATATCCAATACACAGCTTACATTCTTTTCAGGAGACGTACTTTCAGATTTTCAAAGAAATCTGCAGGGATATTTTTCACCTCCAAAGTTCAGTCTTAGAATTAGTTGTATTTTCTGCTTCTCACAGTCCAAGTAATCCCAACGACAAATTTAGACTCAACAGTCTATATAACCTTGCTCCACATCCAAGATGTCCAGTTTTGGTGTTCTAGTGTAGTTTTCTCCTTTTTTGTCCATGTTTTTTTTTCAATAATTGCTTCTTGAAAGCTACACATTCTTTCAGACCCACAGCACTGAGTTATCTTCTCACAGCTGAAGGAAAGACAGAAACACCTGTGGATTTTTTCAGATCAGAAGCAAGAGCAGAGCTGGGTTTCTCTCAATGCTTTAAGTACTGTTTATCTGATATGGACAGTTTTGCATTTGTTAGGAGTCCCATTTTCTCTGCATCTCTGAATCATTTTTGAACTCAAAATGATTTGAACTCACTTATTTTCCCTGATGTTCCTATTTTTAAAGTGGATTGTCTTCTATCTAGTCTCCTGAAAAATGACTAACAGAGTACTGTACAAAAGGACGCATAAGATTTATGACTGCAGCATGAGACAAAGTGTTAAATTGAGAGATCAGGCCTTCAAATGTTTCCACTAAAAGGGTAGTTAAGGTAGTTACTTTAACAGTGTGAGGATTTGAAGCATCACAAATCCTGCATTAAACAGATGAAAAACAGATAAAACTGCATTTGGTGCTACTTTGTGATAATGTTTTACCTTCTTTTATAGATCAAGAGAAAATTGAGGACACAGGAAGCCGGTAATGACGCCACCCTGAGCTGGCGAGAGAAAAATGGAAAGGTTTTTAAGTTGTACAAGAAGAGGATGATGGAGAACAACAAGTGTGTTTAATGTAAAGTTAGTCATATGTATACGAGACTACAGAGCCCTGCTGGTGACATCTCATATAAATAAAAATGAATGCATGGCCAAGACTTAGTAAGGCGTGGGAACAAGATTCTAATGCGTTTCCACGACTTAGTAAGGCATGGGAATGAGATCATTGTGGCCACATATTAGGATCTCATTCCCACGCTTTACTAAGTCATGGCAACGATAAAATTATCTTGTTCCCATGCCTTACTAAGTCGTGGCCACGCATTATTTTTATTTATACAGGATGTCACCAGCGGGGCTCCGTACAAGACATAGGCAATCCCAGTTTCTAGCTACCAAACTTAAGTTATAAAGCAAATCTTACAGTCCATCATCAGAAGTCACCCCTTGTGCTAAAGGAGCATACTTAAAAGTATATAGAGCACACTAACCACATTCATACAGAAAACACACATAAGGGGCCCAAGCTAATTCCAATTCCATATATGAATTTTAAAAGATGTGTATTAACATTATATCTTAGCAATATGTGATTGCATATGAATTTAGTGAGACTTGTATATTTGTAGAGTTTTTTTTTTAATAATGAAAGATGTGTATATGTATATGTGTATAAGATATGTATATATCTACTTCGTAATGCCTAACAACAGACCTCTTAATCTTAAATTATGAAAATTAAAAATTACTGTAACTCCATGCAGGTTAGCCACTGAACAGATTTCTTAAATTCCACCATCAACACACCTAATTTCACTTAACACAAATTTGAATCGTTACACAAGCAACTGGAAGTGTACCACATATCATGGTGTATCTACAGTGTGTCAGTGGAATCGTTTACCCTCCTGGGCCTATCAGAAGCCTGCTAGCTTTGGGAGGAGTAGTTCAACCTTTATTTGTGTCAGTTTAAGTGTAATAGTTCACTGATTTCTAATGAAAGAAATGAGTTCGGTCCTCACTGTTCTGCTGAAGATGCACTGATCAGGGGATGGTTTTCACATTCAGATTCCAGGGAAGAGGAAAAGAAATAAATCACAACTACTCTCCTTACAGTACTGGAGTACATTTTTGAGTAGAATTAAATTAGAGTACTTTATGTGAGTTTATTACAGAACAATAATGCTGCATTCTCCCATCATAATATGTATCATAATATTTTTAGTTTTGATAAGTTTGAAAAGACAAAATGCACCCCATTTTTAAAAAATACTATCAAAAACAGTGAAATGATGTAATGATGAGTCAAGACCAAAACGTTTAGTAGTCGAGTCTGAGTCAAGACTAAGACCAGGAGAGGCTGTGGCCATACTAATTGTTTCAGTTAAGCTCCATTTAGCTGTTTGCCTTGTCTTCAGATTACAGAAGAAGAAAGAAAAATGGAGGCGCTGTTTTCTGTTACCTGGATTGGTTTATTTACTGCATTACTGAAATGTTGTTTTAAACAGGACTCCTGTTAATGAGCAGCTTTGAGTACAGTAAATTATAGAAGGTAATTCACCAAAGAGTTATTACTTAGTAAAACAGCACATTGCAGAGTCATACTGTCATACTGTCAACCTGTGGGCTGTGCCCCCGCCCCCAGTGGTCCGTGTTTGTACTCCTTTGAACTGCAAAAATTCATTACATTAATTGCAAACATTTCATTATGCAAACATGATATGAAGCTCATTTCTGGACAAGTTTGGCATTTTGTAAAATCCAATTTAAACAAGAATCTGTGATTTGTTCATTCTCTTCAATATTTATCTGACAAAAGTAAAGGAAGTGTTTTCACTGACCAACATAATTGTATTTTGTAAGCATTAACTTAATTTATAAGTGTTAATAATTTGATGCCTGCGACACACTCAAAAATGTTGGAACAGATGCATGTTTACGCACCTTTAAAGACGGTGCCTCATGCACAATGCGAGGATCAGCGTCTCTCCGGATTTCGCTTTTTAGTAGTTATTAATCTTTTGATTTCCGCTCTTTTCATATGAAACTGCAAGGCAAGCATCTCATATAGCTGCAGTAATACAGTTTGTATTGTACTGGAACTCCCTCGGGAAATAATAAGAGTGCCATTGACTGTACAGCCAGCTCGGCGGGGAAAGCGAGGCAGACTACAGGCTAAGCTAAGGCTAAACCCACACCAGACATCTGTTCCCAGCATTGTTCTCACCAATGTTCGGTCTTTGGCGAACAGAATGGATGAACTACGACTCTGGACTACAACACACACATGGATCAGAGAGTAACACATCATTGTTCTTACAGGGACCTGGCTGAACACCGGCTTCCCAAGCAGCGCGGTGGAGCTGGAGGGGCACAGTGTGTTCAGAGTGCACCTTTACAATTTCATGATGATTAGACCAATAGAAATTCTCCAAACTTAGAATAAAAACTTTTTCCATCAAGTTACATTCATAGTAAAGAAAGTTTTTGCCCTCTCCTGTAAAGTTACTATTTTGGAGATACGTAGAGAGTTTTTCGTTGGAGATCGTAGGTAGGTAGGTAGGTAGGTAGGTAGGTAGGTAGATAGATAGATAGATAGATTTGTAATTTGTGTATATTTTGTTCATATAGTTATATATTTCTTACATATGTTGTAATTATGCCTATTAATGCACATTGGCACTGTCTGTTTTGCACTATTGCTACTATTTGCACTTCTGGTAGATGTTGTCTGCATTTCGTTGCCTTGTACATGTACTGAGCAATGACAATAAAGTTGAATCTATCTGTCTATCACTGTGTTACATCACCCTTCCTTTTAATCATAATTTTTAAAAGTTTGGGAACTAAAGATACTAATTAACAGACTAAATACATTTTTGCACATTCTGGCTTGATACAAAACTTTAGACTGCCACTTCAGTCTTCTACTTAGGTGAGTCACAAAAAGACGATCTGATTGGCTAAATCTGAAGAAGCTTTTGAGGTTGTTTGTGTTGGCCATGAGTTGCAAATGTTTGGGAAACTCTGAAGCCCAAAAAATTACTGTTTTATTCTGTTTTTTCTGGTTTTGTGGATATTTTTGATGACCCTAAAGGGCAAGACTACTTTTTAAAAAAGGAAAAACTGTTTAAAGATACCTGTCCAGGGTGTTTCCTGCCTTCCGCCCAATGACAGCTGGGATAGGCTCCAGCACCCCACCACGACCCAGAAGGATAAGCGGTTTAGATGATGTATGTATGTATGTATGTATGTATGTATGTATGTATGTATGTATGTATGTTTAAAGATGCCTTGTTTCAGTTAATACTTTAAACTCACCCTGGCCATTTACAGGGTGAGTTTATTTAAGATATCTTCTTTTATCTCAAACTGTCAGCCTTTTTGTAAAAGTGTCTGCTTTTACTTAAAACATATTCTGTTTTCATTTAAAGATGTCTTGCTTTTTGTAAACCTACCTTGCATTTATTTAAGCATGTGCTATTTTATTTGAAGATGTCTGCTTTTGATTTCTTCCTTCTATTTAAAAATGTTTTGTCTTTATTTAAAGATGTCTTGCTTTCATTTAAACATTTGTTTTTGTGAAGTTATTTTGTTTTGGTTTATGCCTGTGTTGTTCTCATTAAAGATATATTCCTTTATTTGAAGATGTCACATTTAATTAGAAGATGTCTCCTTCTTTGTTTTGAAATTGTTTGCTTTATTCAAAGATTGTTGCTTTTATTTTAATTTGTCTTTCCTTTTTTTTAAAGCAGTTTTGTCCTTTGGGGATACGTGTGAAACATATTCTCAAGCACCATACAGGACAAACAGCAGGTGGCACTATACACTATAGATAAATAAAGCAACACAATCATCCCACAGTGTAGAGCTAACACATAAATAATAAAAGAAAGCAGAAAATACTTTTATTGGAACAGTCATAGATCTGAAAAGCTCCAATAACAGGTGCAGTAACGCAGTGTTGAGTATGTTTTTAAGTTGGATATTCTTGTCTTTCAGTGTAATCAGTGTTATTCAGCTCTATTTACCTGTTCCAGGAGACGAAGTCAACAAGTTCACCAGAACACAAATCAAAATGTTTTGATGTGTCAGTTAATATTTTTTATATTTATCACTTCATAACTTGGCAGCTATAATGCTAGCATTATAAACATGTATGCTAACAACTACAAAACAAGTTTTTTTAGTTTTGTTTCTGTTCATATTTTACACTTTAAAGAGAAAATGTAAATTTAGCTTGAATTACTTTTGATTCTGGGTAAATGTAAATGTTTGTGTGAGCAAGTATTAATCAGATTAGAGTCTGATATAGTCAGTTATTATACTACATAGATTCGGTGACTATGAGCTTAGTAAGATGAATCTGTTTTCATGGATTCATTTATAAGACATCAGTACATACAGCATGTCAGAATTATGTAATAAATTATCAGGTGAATCCAGCACAGAGGCACATGTGTCTGCTCTTCCTTGTCATCACAGGAGGCAGATTGCATCACACTGTCAATGTTCAGATGGAATAAATGGAGGAAAAATACAGTTTCTGTAACAAACTGAAATGGAAATACATTTTGTTGGTAATCTCAGCTTCTGAATCATGAATCTGCTTTTCTGCTGTCTGGAGAGAATCAGCATCTTCCTCCTGGTTACATTTCACAGCAGACAGTGAGGCGCTTTCACTGACATCCATTAAGAATGACAAATGTTTTTTGGGGGAGGTCGATCGCGTTACATAAAAAATATGAATTTGTTAAACTCTTATTACATGTTCTCATAGCCATTTACACTGGAAGTCAATTTTTTATTCAAATTAAAACTGGCCGTGCATGTGCTCCACTAGCTCAGTTATTAACATGCCAATATATTGACAGTGTAATGCGAAAGTGTAGGCACTTCTATTTCTAAACAAAAATAACACATCCTCTACATTTTAATGCACAATTACTATTTGTATATTTAATATATTGAAAAAAATTAACATAAAATTTGACCTGTGCAAAAGTTGTGCCACAATTTGTATTTTATGTTTTATGTTTTTCCAA